CGAGGGCGCGCTACTGCAGCAAGGAACATAACCCTCTCTATGTAATTCTTGTTCTGTGTGAATCGTTCCGGCTCCTCTTCGTCCTCTGCCAGGTATAGCTTGAGAGACTTCTTCGTGCGATAGAACCACTTCTCATCAATGTGAACAACATTGTACATTCCCTTAAAAGACGGCTGTTCCGGCAAGCTCTCTTCCTCAAACTGTGAGAGGCACCACTCAACCCTACGTCTCTTGTTTAGATCGGTGAGAGTTCCCTTGATGGCATTGCTGTGACGTCTAATCTGCTTCTCTTGCAACCGCCTCCAAACCGTGGTAGCTGACACATTCAGCTCGTTTGCCAAGTCTTTGATGGTTGTTCTCTTCCTCTTGTCGATCGCCTTTATACTCTCCGAGTCGATGGCGATCCTTTTACGACCACAGTTTTTGGGCTTCCTGTTCAACACTCCAAGCATCCCTCCATATATCTTTCCCTTCCTCCATACGTCCTGGACGCTTCTCTGCGGCATACCAGTCAAACGAGCCACTTCCTTGGTCACTCCACGTTTCAAGAGTCCTAGAGTCGTCCTCTCCAATAACATGCCATAAACTGTGAGCTTGGCTTTGTCACTCCACTCCCGCGGCTGCTGGTTATTCCCATCTTCATCTATGAAAAATTGAGACATGATCATGAGGTTATGTTCATAAAAAAGGAAAACATGATCACTTCTAGAGAAATACTTTTATCGAACTATTGCAAACAGGAAACATATGAGCACTTTATAATTAGCTCACCATGAACATCATCGTCGGCGGCACCATCTTCGCCATCTTCGCCATCTGCACCACCTTCGTTGCCCTCATCACCGGTGCCTATTTGAACAATATAAATAAATTTTGACAACTGAATTGAACTACTCTTTCATCCGTATTGAGAACACAAAGAAGACACTCACCATGTGCATCATTGTCGGCGCCGTCATGTCCCTGATCATCCCCGTCGCCATGGCCATCATCGCCAGTGGCACCATGCTGATCATCGCCGCCGCCATGGCCATCACCCCCAGCACCGTCGTCGTCGATGTACGTGGACGCTGCCATGTTCAAGTCGATGACACCGCGCCCTCGACCGTACACTACATGGTTTGCCGAATCACCTGCACCGTCGAGGTCGCTGCCCATGGATGCAGCCACGTTCAAGTCGATGCCACCGCGTCCTCGCCCAGCAAGGCCAAGTCGTCCTCGTCCACGGCCCAGTGGGTGTGGTGCACCTCTTCCATGGCCTCGTCCTACACCGACAGGATGCTCCGGGTTCCATTGGATCGTCCCAGGACGAGCTCTCCCGCGGCCGGCGAGGCCCAATCTTACACGACCTCGGCCTCGTCCATCGACGCTGGCGTCCATGCTGTTAGAACTGCCACCTGCCGCGTCGGCGTGGCTGCAGTTCGTGCGTACGGCCAGCTCGCGTCCAGAGCCGCCGCGTATGGCGAGCTCGCGTCCAGAGCCGCCGCGCACGGCGCTCCGACGGCCGGCGCCGCCACGTACGGCGAGCTCACGTCCAGAGCTGCTGCGTACGGAGCTCCCACGGCCACGCCCGGTCAAGCCTAGGCAGCTGCGACCGCGCGCGCTGTTCTCGCGGCCGCCGCCGACGTCGGCACGGCTCGGATCACTACCCCCGCTTCCGCCTGGGGTGTCCGCGCTGTGCACGCCGTCCGCAGGGCTCGGACCACCGCTTCCGCTTCCGCCTGGGGCATCGGCGCCGTGCACGCGGTCAGCAGGGCTCGGACCACCGCTTCCGCTTCCGCTTCCGCCTGGGGCACTGGCGTCGTGCACGCCGCGCTCGTCGCCATGGGCATGCTCCGCAGCAGCGTCTTCTGAAATTTAAACGTGGGCAACAGATCAAGAAGGGAAGATAAAACGGCATAAGATCAAAGGGAAAAACTCGATCCATACCGTCATCGCTCTCCTCGAACACATACACGTAATGCATGTCTTCAGCATTGCCATCATAGTGTTCTTCAACCTCGTTCCAGTTAATGGCGGAGTTGAGGTCGAGGTGATCCATTGCATGCTCGTGCTGATGCAGGGAAAAGCATACGGACTAAGGAGAGGTGTGTAGGCTGGTCTTTCCATGGAGCTTGATTTATAGACATGATTTTTTGGTTTTGGAGGGAACTGCAAATCCATGGCGCTGGCGGCCGGTAAGCTAATTTTCGAAGCAAATTTTCGAGGCTACTTCATGGCGCTCTGCTTGTTTAGGAGGGAAGTGAAATTGCGCTGTGTTGCGTTTAGGAGGGAACTTGAATTGTTGGCGCTATACAGTTTTGATCGAAGCAAAAATCTGTGGAAGATCACATCTCTTTTGAAGAGAAGATTGCTATCTCTACTCGAGCTGCTCATAGGCCAGCGTCACGGCATGCACGTCATGTGAGAGAGAGAGATAGACAGCCATGCAACATGCAGAGAGAGGAGAATGCGGGCGGAGAGCCAATGGGTTGCATGGGGGCATTTATTGCTGCTTTGCTCCTCCCGTCCACGCGCATGCGCAGAGGGGCATTTCTGTCCATATAGCATGCAGCGAGCCCACCTCTTGGTATCCGGGTCTGCTCTTAGGCGCAGACAAAAAAGAATCGGAGGGAGTATGTTCTACCTCTGTTCCTAAATGTAAGACGTTTTGGCAGTTTAGAGGGTGTGGTATATATTATATACTGAAGTACAATATATACAATAGAAGTGAGTTGATCCCGGGGAGAAGCACATTAGCGAAGTAGGATAGTAAGGGAGGAGCACAGCAGCAGAAGATAACAGCAAGAGGAGCACAACAGCAGAGGAGTGAATTCAAGGGAGGAGCAGAACCAAAGGAGGGAGAGCGTCGTAATGCTCCTGGCAACCGCTGGCGGCGGTGGTGGGTGGCAGCGGCAATGGGGGTCAATGGGTGGTGGCTGCAGTCTGGTCGTCCCAGGCAGTTCGTTGTGGAGCGATCCCGGAAAGCTAGGGTTGCAAATTTTTGACCTTTCCCTGGCTGAGTGCTGCTCACTTATTATCCCGTCCAAATTGAGTCGATCCACTCAAACACCCAAACTAGTCCGGACTAGTCGATGACTAGTTGCTCCACCTTTCGACTCAATGAGCTAGTCTACACGAAGAAGCTAGTCAACAATCAGAATGAGACGACTAGACTGGTCACATGGCTAGTCGTTGGACTCATTCATTTCACCCAGGAAATCCGCAAGTCGCACAACCGCCACTGTTCATCAGCTCATTCGTGACGAATGGCACCGCGTGAAAGCCAACAGCATCCGTCCCTCAGGCCTCAGCGCATGAACGGAAGCAGTATCCGTCCCTCAGCTGGCATGTCCGGCTGCGTGTGAACGCCTTCGTGGCGGACGCGACGAACTAGCTCATCCGCAACATCCTCCCTCTCAGCTCCATTGACTTGTCCACGGTTGTCGTGCTCGCCAACACGCTCTACTTCAAAGCTCCCACTCCGTCACCCGCCATCATCCGGATCTAGCCACGGCGGTTCGGTTCGCTTTTGTAAAAAGAAAGTCAGCCACAAAACCAGGGGAAAAAACGCCGGCGTGGCATGCACAGTCAACAGGGAAATTAGGGGGGTTGTGAAAATTGATTTTTTTTTCACTAAATCAGGTAATATTGTTACACGTGAAATTAGGTGGTAAAAATGGAATTCACTCAAAACAGTAAAAAAGATGTGGGAACACGAACCTTCGACGTGGGGTTGCGTAACCACTACAGCACTAAGGTATGACATTGGACAGAGATGGTACAATATTTAGCCACACTTTGAGCATTTAAATTCTTCAAGAAATTCGATTTTATTTTATTTTTGCTCGAAAGGCCCATTTATCGGGGTTAGCAAGAACACGGATTTGAATTTCTCGCTCGGTACCAAAAACCTACCGCTGGCCTCGCGACCTGCTTGCTCAAATGCTACCGTTGCCATCTGCAGCTGCTCACCACCATGCTCGGCTTCAACCGTAACCAAGAAAGGATCCACATCCTCAAAGATGTCACCGGCATCCTCAAACCCTCCAGGTGAGCTTCCTCCTGCTATATATCCATTTACTTGCTGATCAACCTTCCCCCTTTCCTTCCTTCCTCATCAGATCAGTATGCAAATGCAACACCAATCTGTGTGTACATGCAGGATGACCCTTCTCCTTGGACCCCCAGGCTGTGGCAAAACCATCCTTTTGCTAGCACTTGCTGGAAAGCTCAACAAAAGTCTCAAGGTATCCCCACTCTTTTTTCCATCGACACATGTACCTTCCAATTCATATAATGGCCATATACTCCGCAGTTTAGCTTCCACTTATGAGCTCTATGTAGGTCTGAAATTGCACACAAAAAACAGAGAAAATACTGTATGTCGTGCATTTCAGTACTTTAACTCACATACTATGGATGTGTGGGTGCATAGGTAACAGGAGAAATTGACTACAATGGTGTCAAGCTGCAAGATTTTGTTCCAGAGAAGACATCAGCGTATATTGGTCAGTACGATCTTCATGTCCCTGAGATGACTGTCAGGGAGACACTCGACTTCTCTGCAAGATTCCAGGGCGTTGGCAGCAGAGCAGGTTTTTTTTTCTGGGACCTGGTTAACTAAATGTTTTTAGGGACAGCAGGCAACTAACTAGTCGAAGAAAATGTGCCAAAGCCATAATACCTTCATTTTAGGAAATATTAATTGCCCATTCTATCTACTAAACCAAGTGCTCTCAATTTCTTGTACAAAATAGAAATCATGAAGGAAGTCATTAGAAGGGAGAAGGAGGCTGGGATCATCCCTGACCCCAACATAGATACATACATGAAGGTAAATACTGACCTATTTTGCTATAATGTTGTAACATTTCTGAGTGTGCCCATTGGAACACCTTTCTCTGATAATATTGAATCAAACCTTAAAACAGCATCTTTCTGCCAAGTGCCATCATAATTTTTCAGCACGATTCTTTCCTATTGATTCTTAAAAAGAAAAGCAATCGTATCATGTTTGTACAGACAAGTTCAGTTTAGCTGCAACATTTACAATTTCTGTGCACTTTTTTGTAGGCAATATCTGTGGATGGTTTAGAAAGAAGCATGCAAACAGACTACATTATGAAGGTAAACAATGTTCAAAGAAGAATTCATTGGTTCCAACGCACAATGTTTTTCTTCTGCATGATCTATTCTTGGTTCACAGATAATGGGACTTGACATATGCGCTGATGTACTAGTAGGAGATGCCATGAGAAGAGGTATTTCAGGCGGTGAGAAGAAAAGACTAACCACAGGTGAATTTACAATACATATGAAATTTTCAGGATGGTTTATTATCTCAACTATACTCTTGTAAATGATATTTTTGCAAGATAAATAAATTAATAACTGTGCAATTCATTGACTAAAATTCCTTAACTGCATATTGGAAGGTACACACCTTTTGTGGTGGCTAATTGATTTTGTCGATGCTTTCTGTACTTTATTATTACCATGAGCTGATATGAATTTCTCGCCACAACAAAGCTAAGAACAGGGGTATGATAAACCATAAATTTTTGTTGTGATGAAAGCACATGAGCCTGAACGAATCAACTTAGCATGATTTATTTCTACTTTTTAGAATGTAGCTAGTAATGTGTTATATTCAGTTTATGTAGTCCCAACCTCAGTTTTGGTCTATATAGGATAAATAATACTCCCTCTGTTAACTAATATAAGACCTTTTAGATCACTAAGGTATTATATTAGTTTACAGAGGGAGTATAAATTAATTCGATACTAGATGCTTAATTTTTTTCACTTGTAAAAATTTCTTACAAGCAGGAGAGATGATAGTAGGACCATCAAAAGCGCTCTTCATGGATGAAATATCAACTGGGCTGGACAGTTCTACCACCTTCCAAATTGTTTCTTGTCTCCAACAGCTTGCTCATATATCAGAGTCTACCATACTGGTTTCACTCCTTCAACCAGCACCAGAGACTTACCAACTTTTTGATGATATTATCTTGATGGCTGAAGGACAAATCGTATATCATGGTCCTAGGAGCTGCATTATGAGTTTCTTTGAATCTTGTGGTTTCAAGTGCCCTGGAAGAAAAGGGGATGCTGACTTCCTTCAAGAGGTATTTAGCAAAATACTAATTTACATATGTCAAAATAAGCATCAGTAGCATCTCTGAGTTCGTGTAAGCATGGTTCTCCCTGCTGTCTGACAAGCCATGGTGCTTATTTCGCAAGATTAAGGAAAGCAAATCCAACAAACATGGAACCTGGACTTGACCTAAACGTTAAGGCATGCCCCGATTTGGGTGGCGTGGCAGTGATAAGACTTACTCCCTCCGTTCCCAAATATAAGTCTTTTTAGATATTCCAACAAGTGACTAGATACATAGCAAAATGAATGAATCTATACTAAATTATGTCTACATACATCCGTATGTTGTAGTCCATTTGAAATGTCTAAAAAGACTTACATTTAGGAACGGAGGGAGTATTAGTTTAAAGAGTAGTTATGCTAACTCTGTAATAAGTTTGGCTGCATGCATCGATGATGCAGAGGCTTGAGGTAATAAAAGCTCCTATTATCTAAATAAAATTAAGATATGCCCCACCACAAATTCAAATTTCTGCTTCTCTAGTTCTTGTGTAATCTAGTCGGGTCTTTCTGTCAGTGCAGTCCAGCAGAATGCAAATCTGGCATGCTGAATTTCATTTGCCATATGCATATCATTTGTTGAATATATAATAACGGAACTGGACATTTTATGTGCCTAGAGTAATGCAAATAGCAATTCTCTTGTACAGACATGTTTCTGGTTTCAACATTTCTGCAAAGTGTAAGAGTTACACCTATAGTTTTGATGTGCATTTGATGAAAGTAACATTACGAATATGAAGTAATAGGGAGTTTGCCATGCTTTTTTGTACTCTTGCTTACCATCATAAAGTAGTCCAGTCTTAACAATGTATGTATACATAGGTCCTATCAAAAAAAGATCAACAGCAATACTGGAGCCGCACCGAAGAAGGATATAATTTTGTTACAGTTGACCAATTCTGTGATAAGTTCAAAGCATCTCAGAGTGGTCAGAATCTTGCTGGGGAGCTTTCAAAGCCGTATGACGAATCAAAAGGACATAAGAATGCACTGTCCTTCAGTATCTACTCGTTATCCAAGTGGGATCTCGTCAAGGCATGTTTTGCACGGGAGTTCCTTCTTATGAAAAGGAATGCCTTCATCTACATAACAAAAGCCATTCAGGTAGGCATCTCGAAGCTCTCTTTTCGGAAGAAGAAAAAATGTGATTGATGCGTGGAGATTTTCTACCTAGTTTTACAGTGCTATCTCGAATGTCACGTGCTAGGGTGTTTATGAGTGTAAAATGTGTTCTAGTCTGTAAATGCAGAATCTTACTAGGTGTAGTCAATTGCGAAATATTGTAGAATTAGGACTATGTGCTTAACACAGGTTACATGGACTACACACTGAGAACATTGAACTCTCGAACCATATAGAAGTCTTCAGCAGGAACTTGCCCAGGATGTCAACATTTTATTCTGCATTCAGTTTCTACTCAGTGTGATTTGAGGACCTCAACTGCTTGTGTGCTCATATCATTACCTAAACTATAGCACCACAGCTGCAGTGTTTTTTGGTTAAAGTATCTTTTACAGCTTTTTTTACGGTAACTAGAAGGAGCTCTGCTGATGCATTATAGATTAGGAGTAGAAACTTTGTACAGGTGCAATCGCACAAGAGAACCAAAAAGAATCAGTCGCTGAACAAGGACCTGCTTTAGTTATAAATAATATGGATGGAATTTACAGCTATGTCATTTTGCACCTGGCTCAACATGACCACCACAAACTAACATATTTTCTCAACATGTTTCATATTTTCGCTGCAGCTTGGACTAATTGCTGCTATTAGTGGGACAGGATTTCTGCGCACCCATATGGGTGTTGACAGAATTCATGCTAACTATTATATGAGTTCACTCTTCTTTGCGCTTCTGCTGCTGACGGTGAATGGTTTCCCTGAGCTGGCCATGGCAATTAACAGACTGCCAGTCTTCTACAAACAGAGAGACTACTACTTCTATCCTGCATGGGCTTATGCAATACCATCTTTTATCCTAAAGATTCCAGTATCTTTAGTTGAGTCAGTAGCTTGGACATCAATATCCTACTACCTGATTGGATATACCCCAGAAGCATCTAGGTAAAATTGCAATGCTGTTGGCACTAATTCAACTACATCAACATTTTCTGTAATTCAGTATCACCATTCACCCATTCGGAGTCATTCAAATGTTGAGTATAATCACCCAAGTGAAGCGTACAAGCAAAACATTGTTTATACTGGTTTTGCATTGATCTGGTGTACTGAAGTCAAACATCAAATTCGCTTATCTAACATCATATTTACTTCTCTTTCATTGTTTCCGCAAAACCAAGGTTTTCAGATGCAGCATTGTGTTAACATGCATTATTCTTGTGTTTAGGTTTTTCTCTCAGCTCCTCATCCTCTTCCTCATCCACACAGTAACATTATCAAAGTTCCGGTGTGTTGCCTCATACTGTCAAACGATGGTGGTTGCTTCAATCTGTGGCACATTGACATTTCTAGTCATGCTTCTATTTGGCGGTTTCATAATTCCACGTGGTAAGACACTCCCTTATTTCATAGACTTTGTGTTGCTAACAAGTGACGAGTCATAATTTATTGCAAATGTACGTCGTGCTCAACTATTAAAAAGCACCGCTAACATTTTCAGTGTCATATTGCTACAACACTTTTGCCTAATTGGCTAAAATGGGGATTTTGGCTATCTCCGTTGTCTTACGGTGAGATAGGCTTAACTGGAAATGAGTTTTTGGCACCAAGATGGTTAGAGGTACACTTTGGCATACGAAGTATGAATTAAGTGAAAAGCATGTATTCCTAAAGGATATTGAAATTTCTGTGCTTGTAGATCACGTTATCTGGTGTAACACTTGGAAAGAGGATACTAATGGATCAAGCACTAGACTTCTCCAGCTACTTCTACTGGATCTCGGTTGGAGCATTGATTGGGTTTACTTTGTTGTTCAATGTAGGCTTTGCCATCGGCTTGACCATTAAAAGTAGTAAGTGCGACATGGCTGAAATTGCATTAAGCTAATTGGCTAAGTAACTTAAAACACTTTACTTTCTTTCTAACAGTATCACATGAATTGTGAACTCAATCAAGCATATGCTGGAGAAAAAGTACTTCCATTCAGAAAAAAACTTCCTGTTTGCTCTTGTTAGAAATGCCATCTGCTCTAATGTCCTTTGAACCTCTCAGTTCCAGGATCTTCTCGTGCTATTATCTCTCGCAATAAGCTTGCCACATTTGGTGAAAGAAACCAAGATAAGGATACGGAAAATGGGATGCCTAATTTACAAGCAGAAACCGCTTTGACACCTAATAGGACTGGTTAGTTGAATTCTACATGATGCAACTAAACACAACTAATACTGTCGACGGAATACAATCAAGATTGAACTTATACTAATGTGCAGGGAGGATGGTATTGCCTTTCACACCCCTTACAATATCATTCCAAGATGTCAACTACTATGTAGACACCCCCGCGGTAATGCTCATGTAGCTTGAACATCTATGAACACATGACCTGAGAGCTTAAAGCCGTAGCAAGGGCTGATCATTAATATCTAAGTATTTCCTCGTTGCAGGAAATGAGGGAGCATGGTTATATGAAAAGAAAACTACAACTACTGCACAATATCACAGGAGCATTTCAGCCAGGGGTTCTCTCAGCCCTTATGGGGGTTACTGGAGCGGGAAAAACAACACTCCTTGATGTTCTTGCTGGAAGGAAAACGGGTGGTGTTATTGAAGGGGATATAAGAATAGGAGGTTATCCTAAGATCCAGCAAACTTTTGCTAGGATATCAGGCTATTGTGAACAGACTGATGTTCATTCCCCACAAATCACAGTGGGTGAATCAGTTGCATATTCAGCCTGGTTGCGCCTTCCACCAGAAATTGATTCAAAAACAAGAAATGTGAGCTATATTTGTTTCTGTAACGAAACAAGAGCTACAAATATGCAAACATATATGAAACTATATTATGAAAGTGCAGGGTACAGGATGACATACTTGTATCCAAGCCTCCTCCGTGCTAGGAACAGTTGAAATGAAACTGTGAACTCACCTGTGTGTTCTTTTCCCTTGCAGGAATTCGTAAATGAAGTTCTTGAAACAATTGAGTTAGATGAAATTAGAGATTCTTTGGTTGGAGTACCAGGCGTAAATGGACTATCGACAGAGCAACGGAAACGGCTCACTATTGCAGTCGAGCTTGTGTCTAACCCTTCAATCATATTCATGGATGAGCCAACATCAGGCTTGGATGCAAGGGCAGCTGCTATTGTCATGCGTGCAGTCAAGAACGTTGCAGATACAGGTCGAACAGTCGTGTGCACCATTCACCAACCAAGTATCGATATATTTGAGGCATTTGATGAGGTAATTACTTTACATATATATACTTCTGACCTTGTTCAAGATTCTCTTTCTAGGCGCCAAGACATGAATGTATTAAATAATAATTTTCAAGGTGTAAAAAGAATCTAATATAGACTTATCATATATAGGTATTATGAGTTGATTATATTGAAGAAGTAACATGAATTACCAAGTGTTGCTACCTCAGCTTGAAATTATAAAGCCAAGATCTGATATCAACCATCAGACATGGAACGAAATTGCATGCTACCTCAGAAAGAACCCTTGACACTATCTACCGGAACTGAAATCAAGCCACACTAACATGCTACTTAAAGGACCCCAAATTAAGTCCCAAGACAGAGTCGACCTCTTCTAAGTTTTCGAGAAGCTAACAGTAATTTTCTGACTTTCAAATATAATCATACTACTGAACTCTGTTGTATTATTAACAAGCATACTGTTCAAAAGAGCTGACACGTTCATTTATGGGGTAGAAATTCCTAGATTAATTGGAGAAAAGAGAAGAACATATGTCTCCTGGCTGGGTTTCTGACACGGTACTCGGTTGCATTATTAACACTTATCTTGGTTGGGTTTAACAGTACGGCTTAAGTAGATGTATATGATAACAGCTGCATACGTTCTCATTTATAAGTATTGAAGTTCTGTATCAAAAGCAACTCTACCAATTCAACCAAAGCCTAAACCTTAGTTCCTGTGATTTTGTGTACATCGTTATCATAAATTTCTTAACCAGAATATTTCATATAAAGTGGAGTGCCATTTTACTAATTAGCTCGTAATATATATGTAGTTGATGCTGATGAAAAGGGGTGGAGAGTTGATCTATGCTGGGCCAGTTGGACACCATTCATGTGAAGTAATCCAATATTTCCAGGTAATAAGTGATTTCAACTCGTCCTTGCACAAAAAGACTGAGTAAATGTGCATATGATTTACATCACTCATTTGTATATGATACAGTCGTTTACAGTAAACAAACCTAACAATATTTGTTTTCATCCTTTTCTTTATTTTAAGGAGATATACTTTTTTTAACTGAAAAATCAAGAAGTTACGTATACTTCTGAACCCATTATCTAGTCCTCATGATTTGCATTCTACATAGCACTTGAAGGGGCGAGCAATATTAATCATAGTTGCACTAGTATATTTTGATTAGAGGAGGCTATACTCAATTCACCACCAAGTCCACCACCTGAATTTTCTCCCCCAATTGCTGTGATATACTAACTGATGATATTTGTTCTTTATTCTTCTAGGCAATACCTGGGGTTCCAAGGATCAAGGACAACTACAACCCATCAACATGGATGCTAGAAGTTACTTCCACATCTATGGAAGTTCAACTGGGAGCAGATTTTGCACAGTTGTACAGAGAATCACCAATGTGCAAGTAAGTTTCAAAGAACCAGCTCAGTCAGCAATAATGCTAACCCGATCGATTATGCAAAGAAAAGTTTCATGTCAAACAGAACGTAGTGCTTCCAGCCTTCCATAGTAGTACTTGAGAAAAACAAAAATAGGCATGTGGGTCTCAAAGTTTGATCAGAACAGAATATAAGCATGGGTAACCATGCCATGCGTAAAATAATATTTGTGCTAATCAGTATGTAAATTTGGTGATCAAAGGGACAAGGACAGGGTGGTAAAGCGGTTAAGCGTACCAGTTCCAGGTATGACCGACCTCCATTTTGGGACACGGTTTCCACAGAAGTTTCAGGAGCAATTCAAAGCTTGCCTCTGGAAGCAGTGTTTGTCGTATTGGAGAACCCCTTCCTACAACATGGTGCGATTTGCGTTCATAACATTCTCCTGCATTTTCTTTGGTGCACTGTTCTGGCAGCAAGGCAACATCAACCATATGTATGTAAACCACCTCTTGATTATGTGTCTTAATTAACTCAATGCAAATATGGGAGAAGCATATGACTGAAGTTGCTTGTTTTGTTTGAGGGTAGAAACGACCAGCAAAGTCTCTTCACCATATTGGGGTGCATGTATGGAATCACTCTGTTCGCTGGCATCAACAACTGTCAATCGGTGATGCCATTTATCTCCGTGGAACGTTCTGTCGTTTACAGGGAGAGATTTGCGGGGATGTACTCTCCTTGGGCCTACTCTTTTGCGCAGGTCCTGTTAATCACATTAAGTTTTTTCAGATGGATTATATCACTAGTACAAGCAGACATTGACTTGTCTTTTTTCTGGAGATAGGTTGCCATGGAGATACCTTATGTGCTGATGCAGGTGGTGCTGTTCATGTTGATAGCATATCCGATGATAGGGTACGCGTGGACAACAGCCAAGTTCTTTTGGTTTATGTACACCATGTTTTGCACACTGCTCTGCTTCGTCTACATGGGAATGGTGGTGGTGTCGATCACCCCCAACATCCAAGTTGCATCCATATTTTCATCTATGTTCTATACCCTACAAAACCTCATGTCTGGCTTCATCATGCCTGCGCCTGTAAGTGAACTCACTAAACTCTATTATATATACCATTACAATTTGAGATACAAAATATGGTGCTTAAAAAGACTTCATAAACATATGGCAGCAAATACCGAGATGGTGGATATGGTTCTACTACGTCTCCCCACTGTCGTGGGCGCTAAGGGTCTTATTCACCACGCAGTTCGGGGATTACGACGACAGGATGATCGACGTATTTGGAGAGACCAAATCGGTCCCAGTATTCATGAAGGACTACTTTGGTTTTCGGCGCGATCTGCTGCCGCTGGCGGCTGTTATTCTGGCGGCATTCCCGATCCTTCTTGCCGTTCTCTTTGGTTACAACATCTCAAAGCTCAATTTCCAAAGACGATAGACACACATGTGTTCATCAAAGTAGTAAAACAGTAGCACGGTATAGAAAAGATATTGCTTGCGCGCGCGCCCACACACACATATCGCTGTACTATAAAATTAAAGCCTGAGTTTGCTTACCAACAAGAAAAGGCCAGTGTATGTATTTTTGTGTAAGTGACACATAGTGCAACAGAATTCCAGTGGTAGCTAGTATTTGAGAATATTGTCGTTGACAGAGGCTCTTAGGCACTTTCACAGTAGCCTGTATCGTTTGTTATTACTGTAAATAAATTCGTAATTACAGAGGCTCTTAGCACTTTCAGTCTTGCAGTAATGAAACACCGCAACGCGCAGACAGTTTTCATTAGCAGAATAGAATTGGTATCAGCTGCTCTGCAAAGATTTTGCCTGAACGTATTATCGACCATAAAGTTTGAGCTTACTGCAGAGGATCCTAACCGGCATCATAGATGTGTGGTGACTAGTCAAAGTATCAAAGAATTAGCATCAGCTGCTCCACAAATATTTTTTTTGATAAAGGGTGGATTTTATTGACTCAAAATGAAGCATCAAATGGATACAAACATAATGAGCACACATCCGGCCTTTGCATAGCTAGGATGCACACAGCCAACACCAACGCACACACACTAAAAAACTTGCCGGCAAGATGCAAAGTCATACAAGACCAAAGCTATGCCGAAGCAAGGAGAAAAAACCGAAAGTGATCGACAACCTATGACAATGACCATATCTGCACCAACCATCTCTTGACAATAGAAGGACAACGAGATTCTTCAACGGCAACACCTTCATGAAGGAAACCTTCGTCACCGGATCCAACCAGTAAAAGTCAGATTCTAGGTTTTCACCCTGAAGAAAAAGTCTGAGCAAAGCCGACCAATGCTTTTAACAAGGTAACGATGCAAAAACATCGTCATTGCTAGATATAACCAACATGGGTCAGACCTTGGGTTTTCACCCCGAAGCTCCAAACCGTGTACTCAAGAAGCACCATCAATCGAAGTCAATCATGAATTGTCACCACCACTTTTTCACAATCCTAGCAACCACATGTGATGGGTTAATTCCCTCTTCGTCGTTGCACAACCACACCCTTTGCATCAAGCCACTGCACATAGATTGAAACTCATTGTCGAAGACAAATTGTCCGAGCAAGACTGTGACGTAGGCCGCATTGCTTCAGGCCAAGTGCTAGATCAGATCAACCACCGTGGGCGGCCAAATTCACGGTTCTGGCCTTTTTATCAAATTTTAGCACGATTTGACACCATTTTGAAATCTTTTTCAGATCTGACCCGTTTTCTACCATTGTAGTCTTTGGCGATAGGTTTACATTGCCTACCGTCAATGTCAATTGCGGTAGGCTTTGGTCAACGTTTAGATGAATGTTTGCTGACTGTGCGAACCCTACTGCCATAGGCGGTGACGGTAGTTGGTTATAGCTTACCGCCAGCCACAGTGGCGGTGTGTGTGTGTCGTTGCATGCATGCATGTTCATGTAGAGACCATGCTTCACTCACACCACTTACTGTTGAGATGCATGCATGTTCATACGCACGCAGGTAAGTAGCCCCAGTAAAGCACTAGTGCATGCATAAACCACATATTTGAATACGTACATGGGCCGGTGGCACATGCATACGAAAAAAAATTATATGAAACCGGGTCTCATATAAACCAGGTGAGACCCGCCTTGATGGATGACATGTGGCATTCAGAAATCACAAAGCATCTAATCTTCCCCTCCCCCACCCCTGATTTCAGGTGGGGGGTGAGATAGATGCTTTGTGATTTGCAAATGTCACGTGTCATCCATTAAGATTGGTCTCACCTGCTAACCCGTGAGACCTGGTCTCGTAGAATTTTTTTCCCATGCATACATATATGAATACCCATATAGCTATAGAGCCAGCCAATGAGATGAGTACCATATATAGATCTGAGTTTAAACATTAAACTAAGTATACTTACCATATATTTGCTTGCATATTCTTATTTCATAAATCATCATTTATCATGAAATAATTAGTAATCTCACAATCTGGGTTATCATAAGAATAGTCATTTGGATAATTAGTCTGATTGACAGCCAGGTCCCACACGAAATCGCTCGGAACCCAATGGTCCGATGCGTCTCCTCCGACGGACCGTGCAAGGCCCCCAGCCCGGCTATTTAAGGCCAATGCTGGCATCGCAATCCTATCCATCCACATTTTCTTCCCTCCCGTCCACCTCCACATTTCAGTCGTCGCCGCTCGCCGGCCGCCACCACAATCAAGTAGTCACGCCACCACGCCGATGGGTCAGGAGCTACCCTTATCTTACGTCGGAGCGCCGGTTGTTGCTCATTGAGCAGATCCGGGTAAGGCCGAAGCCCAGATCACCGTGGGCCTACCTCCGGACGCGGCGGATCCGGAGGAAGAGGAGGACACTGTCCGTGGGTCGTTTGTGAGGAAGAAAGAAACAACCGGAGGGGAGATGAAGAAGCTCGCTGGGCAGGCTACCCCATTGTCTATCCTAGGGTTGAGGGTGGGGACGGTGGTGGACGGCGGCGGTGTGGGGCTTCACCGAAGAAAAAACTCGGCGTGGGGGGCCTAGAGGGATGACCGAGGGCGGCGGAAGACCGGTAGGAGGGTGGTTCCGGGGAGGGCGGCGAGGCGGCGTGGGAGCCCCGCCGACCACGGGTGGTGGTGGCCGGCGCTTTGGCCGGTGGAACGCTAGGAGGAGGAAGAAGAAGGGTCGCGGGCTGTTAGATCTCCATCCGACGTCCAGAATGAATTGAACAACCCGATTTGAAAAATCAGTCGATTTACCTGTAGCCACTCCTACTTTTTACTAAGTTTGAATTGCTTTTGTTTTGGGGATTACATACAAATACTTGCACTTGTTGAAGGCCAAGTATGCAACAAGTAAAAATACATATCCGAATACCCGTACGGGCTGTCCACATACGCATACATTCTGAATACCCGTGTATAGAGGAGATAAAATTATCTCTAGTCCTAATGGAGCAGTTGGTGAATAGTCTCTACGGTTTATTTTCGTCTCACTATTTTCCTAGTTTTTTTCCGTCCCCTCCCCACCCGACCCACGCACGCAACCAAAAAAAAAACACTCGGCAAAAAAACCCACTCCCATCGATCCCCTCCAGACACAGCGCTCCTCCCCCGAACGAGGTCGAGCAAATTGATAAAATGACACATCTTTCCTGGTAGTTTGATCCAGTGACACACTTTTCTTTTTGTTCGATTAGGTGACACATCTTTGATTGACAGCTTGATGAAATGGCACAAATAGAGTTCTTCTGTCCTTTTTCACGTGTGGGGCCGCACTTCATAATTTTTAGGACGGTTTTGCCCTCTCATCGATTCACCCGTTGCCTGGTTCGATTGATAAGTTTCTGGTCGAGTGGAATGACGCACGGGAGGCCGACCTGGATCAGTACATGTATTGACACGTAATATGGAACTAGGCGATCCTGCATGCAAACAAGAGCGTTTGTTAATTGAAGAAATACGGTGCCTCCTCTCCGGCGCCACTGCCTCGCCGTGCTTAGTTCTCGGCGCTGCTGCTTGCTAGCTCTGTAGTTGTTCGTTGTTGTTTTGAGTATGGGATGACACCTGTGAGTTCGTCAATGAGCACGGCGACCGCGACGGCGACCGTGGCGGAAGAAATGGATCCTCGCCGGAGGAGAGGAATTAGGACAAGAGGCGGCTGGGAGCCGGGGTCTTGGCAGCACGTCGGGGAATATGCACGGCGAGGCAAGCGCTGGGGACCTGGCGGCACGGGGTAGGAGCCGGCGTGGCGGCGGCGCATCGCTTCCTTTTCCTGTGCATCGCCTCATCCGACGTTCTCTGCGTCGTTTCGTAGGTTCGATCGAACCAGGCTGAGTTAGGCAGGTGAATCGACGCAAGGGCAGAACCGTCCTAAAAATTATGAAGTGCAGGCCCGTCCATGAAAAAGAAGATAAAAACTCTATTTGTGCCATTTCATCAAGCTATCAATCAAAGATGTGTCATCTAATCAGACAAAAAATAAAGTGTGTCACTAGATCAAACTCCCAGGAAAGATGTGTCATTTTATCAATTTGCTCGACGAGGTCCCAATCCGTTCCTCCCCCTCTCCCGTGGATACGCCGCCCCCGCCGATTTGCCGATCCGGGCAGCATAGCCGTCGCCGTTGATCTGCCTATCCGGGCAGACGCGGCCGTACGTTGTGGATCACGAGAACGCCGGCGCTGCCGGCGCCTCGGATACGTCGCCCGTCACCACCACGATGGTACCTCGCTACTGCCGCTCGGCATGGATGGCCGCCCCAAGACATGGATAAGCTCTCGTGATCCCCACCCCATCCCTCTCATCCCCTGAATCCGTATCCTCCTTCCCATCTTGATCCCACCCACGATCTGATCCGGAAGCTGCCCACGATCCGATCCCCTGGTTTCTTATCCGGTTATCCCCCTCTCGTCTCTCGTCTAGCAACCCCCATCTTCGGGGTGGCGACATTGCTGACATCGTCGCGACCCCCCGCAATTCTAGGCTCGGCCTTCCTCGACTCCATGCGTGGCTGACAAGGTGGTCTTCGTCCCGAGGTGGTCTGCTCGTGCTCTCCTGTTCCTCCTGAAACGGCGAGGGGTAGTGCCGGTCGTGGCTCAGCAGGATAGCATAAGCTTGCCCTTGTTCTTTTGTGTTTGAATCAGATTTGCTGGTTCTCAGTTTTACATGCACATATCAATCTTTCTTCTGTATGCAGGTTACACACCTGATGATGTTTACAGCGAGGCGCAGGAACAAGCAGAGGCCGAGGAAGTGCAGGCATGCGTTGCTGACCTTGGCAGGTGTAGGAGCCGCGCGAGGAAGGTTCAGCGCGCTGCACCAGTCAGGCCACGCCCGGGGCGCCGCGCCAACACATGTGTGCGTGGTCGGTGAGTTGGCCAATATCTGCATTCTGCAACTTCATCTTCATCATGGACACAAGCAAGGACTGATTGGTGGGTCTTGGTAGCGGTGCCGAGCATCGGCGGATCGAAGTGGTCGAGGTCGCGGTTAATCGACCAGGACGAGACATGCATCTTGGAGCTAGCGCAGAGGGGGAAAGAAGCAGGTTGGTCTGGCCTGGCCTCGCAAATGAATTGGTATGTCCAGTTCTTCCCATGAAGGTCACATGCCTAACTTCGTGCTAGACATTGCTAACTCAGCCACTTGATGTTAAACTCTGTATGTGTAACTAGACCAAGCTAACTCAATGATTCGATGTGTTAAATTAAAGTACCAATCAGGCATGTTCACCCCTTTGTACGTGTGTGCTCTTGCATTACTTACTAGATCTTGTTGTATATGATGGTCCATTGTCAGCTATACAACTTCTGAATTTTGTCAAGTTCAGTTCAGATTTGATTTTTTTCACCTCTTTTTGCATGGACAATGTGTCTACTTGAAATTCATAGGCATTGTGAGGTCAGAAAGGATTCCATTTTGACTCTCTTATTCAGTTTGGTTCAAACCTGTTAGCTGCTACACCTACACGTGGAAAACTTACACTTGACATTCTAAAATTAGGCAGCAACCTTTATTGCCGGTCATTTAAAAGTTCAGTGACAAGACAACTGCTGACACAGAGTTCTGCCTCTCTGATTGAAACAGGAACTTTCGCGCAACGAAAACACACACAGGGCCGGAACATGGCTACTCTCACCCTTCCAAGTTTTTGATCGATCGAACTCTTCGGGGACAAGAAAATGAGAAAAGGGCAGGCCGTCGATGTACAGACCACAGGTGCTCGGACGCACGGCCGGCATCATGGTCGTCATAACTCATAACCCATGAGGGGATGATGAAGCAAGAAAGGAAGGTCGCCGAGAATGCTAATATCTCCGTTTTGCTGATATAAGGGATTTAGAGCATCCACATGACCATGATCGACAATGGCCTGAAGCCAAATTTTGTTTTTGTTCAGACAAATGGTCGTGCGCTGAACTGGTAAATAATAAACCTATTTTAAGTGTGTAGACCCTACGGGTTCGGGAATCACGTAGACATGACCGAGACAGCTCTCCGGCCAATAACCAACAGCGGGATCTAGATACCCATGTTGGCTCCCACATGTTCCACGATGATCTCATCGAATGAACCACGATGTCGAGGATTCAAGTAATCCCGTATACAATTCCCTTTGTCAATCAGTACGTTACTTGCCCGAGATTCGATCGTCGGTATCCCAATACCTCGTTCAATCTCGTTACCGGCAAGTCACTTTACTCGTCACGTAATGCATGATCACGTGACCAACCACTTGGTCACATTGAGCTCATTATGATGATGCATTACCGAGTGGGCCCAGAGATACCTCTCCGTCATACGGAGTGACAAATCCCAGTCTCAATCCGTGTCAACCCAACAGACACTTTCGGAGATGCCTGTAGTATACCTTTATAGCCACCCAGTTACGTTGTGACGTTTGGTACACCCAAAGCACTCCTACGGTATCTGGGAGTTACACGATCTCATGGTCTAAGGAAATGATACTTGACATTAGAAAAGCTCTAGCAAACGAACTACACGATCTTGTGCTATGCTTAGGATTGGGTCTTGTCCATCACATCATTCTCCTAATGATGTGATCCCATTATCAATGACATCCAATGTCCATAGTCAGGAAACCATGACTATCTGTTGATAAACGAGCTAGTCAACTAGTGGCTCACTAGGGACATGTTGTGGTCTATGTATTTGTCGGAGTAAATGACCACGGGTAGCCTAACCGGCTCCCATTGGCCCTTATAAAAACAACGGGCCAACTGAGCCTTGAAGCACCCAACACGCGGGGCCGCCTTCCTCCGGCCGGCTATCTCATAGGCCGGCTACCGGAAGGCGGCCCGACCCTAAACTCTCTTGGAGGACGCCACGACAGGGCCGACTCCAAGAAGCCGGCCACGGAAGGGCCGACTCCAAGAAGCCGGCCACAGAGAATTGACCCCAAGAGGCCGGCCCCAGGCAGGCGTCCAGGGGCCGTGCCCTAAAAGTCTGCACCCCCATAACGATGATGGGACGGGGCGTGGCAACAGCGGATCCTGCCACCCCCAAATCCCGGGGCACGCATGGCTACAGTACGCCGTACGGGACAGCCATCACCCGTCCGGCGCGGCACTGTTGCCATGCTGATCATGACACCCTCCATGACGGGCAGCCAGTACGGCCCGTGGGCAGCGGGCCCCTTCAATCAGAGAGACGCCCGAAGGCGACCTGGCCTCCCCCAGCCGGCCTGAGGCATGGCCGGCTTCCTATAGCCGGCTTGCTCCTCTCCTCGGGGCGCGCGCACCATTAAGGAGACAAGACGAGGTAAGGCTATAGTGAGAGTTCGCAAGGCGGCAGCACTGTAGCCATGCTTACCTCGACAAAGCCCTCGTCATCAGAGGCGAGGAAACAGTAACCAGCCCCCGACAAGACCCCCAAGTGGTGGGACCGGCCTGTCGGCCGATGAGCTGGCAGCCAGCGGGACCCACCAGTCGGTGGGCCCCAGCGGTTGGCAGAGAAGCCGGCGGTCATAGACACTAATGGCTAGGGCCCACGCCCAGCCGGATTACCATTGTACCCCCGGGGGGTAGGCCTATCTAAACCCCCTGGGACACCCATGCAAAGGGTTGAGCTCAGCTAGTTTTAGACACCACTAAAGGGAGAGGAGAGAGCTAGTCTTGCCCTTCTTCCTCCTTCCACCGAACTGCTCAGGGAGCCTCTTGTAGCTTCTTGTTGATCTAGTGATCATGCGGAGACCCCGCAGAGCAGGAGTAGGGGTATTATCTCCACGGAGAGCCCCCAACCTGGGTAAGATCCGCCGGCGTGCATGTCTTCGCCTTATCCCGTTTCCAGGCACCGGCGATGTTTTACTGGCTCCCACACAGATAAGCCATCCGTTGGCATATGTCGCACCCGCCACCCGACATTTGGCGCCCACCATGGGGCCAGGTGCACCGTCATCCGGAGACCTGCTCTGGACGGGAACCTTTTTCCTCCCCCGCGAGCGTAGCCAGCCCGGCACGCCCGATGGCGCTTGCCCCGACGCGCTGCAAAGCATCGACGACGCCTGCGCAGCGAGCTGCCTCGCCGATCTTCTTGGCGAGACTCGCATCTCCGACAGTCTCCTCGACCAACTCCACGTCTCCAGCAAGCCTACTGCAGACTTGGAGTCGGTTGGCTCCACCGACCCGATGCTTGTCGACTCCCACACGGCGTCGCTCGACGCCTTCCCCTCCAACGTAATCATCTTCGACGACCCTCTCCCTCGGGCCGACAGTGGCGGCAGCACTGTCACCGAGGTGCTGGTCATCAGCCATGGCGTCACCTCCGATGAAAACGCCCGTGACGCCCTCCAGGCAACGCTGCACGACCTATCCGCCCACATCCCGGCGGACGCTGACGCCGAGACGCTGGAGGCACGCCGCCTTGCTCTCCTTGCGGAGGGCCAGAGGATAGCCTCCATGAGACGCCATACTGAAGCCCACCAGCGCGAAGTCGACCACGCCGCTTTCGGTACGCCGCCTCCAGAAGGGCCGAGCCGAGCCGGCGTCGTCAAGAAACGCGGCACGACCATCGCCAGCATGCTGGGAGCGGACCGCCCAGTCTACGCCACGCCCCTCGAGAATCTACGCGTCACCCAGTCGATCGTAGACGAGCTAAATGGACTGGAGGCCGACGAGCTCCCCTACATGACCAGACGCATCCAGCAGCTAATCGACGCGGCCGCGGAGCGGCACGAAGCCGGCGTCCGAGCTGGAAGCCCCCCTCGCCGAGAGCACGGCACGAAGTCGCGTATGCCGACTGCGGGCGGCGCCCGTGCGAGACAAGAGAAGGAGCCGGCTGCTAGCCGCAGCCGGACCCGAATCACCATCGAGCGCGATGCAGAAGACCGCCCTCGAGGTGTGGAACGACGAGGCGACCCGCCTCCTCCTCCGCCTCGTGGGGAGAGATATCCCACCCCGCCGCCTGTCGCGCATCCGACTCTCAGCGGTCGACTTGGTCGCCGCGAAGGAGTCGGTGAGAATGATGCCCGCCATCGGATCGACCGCCTTGCGCGATCCCTAGCCCTAGAAGAAGAAGATGATGTCGGTCCGCCTTGTTTCGGCCCTTGCATCCATGACGAGCCCTTCCCCAAAGGGTTCTCGCTCCCGAGAGACACGCCCAAGTACAACGGCTCCGTGAAGTCGGAAGATTGGCTGATCGACTACTCCACCGCAGTCCGCATAGCAAACGGCAACAGGCGCGTTGCCGTGAAATATGTCCTCTTGATGCTCCAAGGCACGGCGCGTACCTGGCTCAATAGCCTCAAGCCTTACAGCATCAATAGCTGGCTGGACTTCACGGAAGCCTTCATACGCAACTTCACCAGCACCTACAAGCGGGCTCCCAAGCCCCGACAGCTCTCCTTGTGCGTACAAGGGCCGAGTGAATCAACCCGTGACTACCTCACGCGTTGGGCCGAGCTCCGCAACTCCTGCGAGGGGGTGCACGAGGTTCAAGCCATAGAGTACTTCACCGCCGGGTGCAGAGAGGGCACCCTCCTCAAGCGCCGACTCCTCTGCGGCGAGCCGGCTACCCTCGACGAGCTGCTGGTCATAGCAGACAAGTACACCACGGCCAACTCCTCAATGAAGACTGAGCTCCGGGTAGACGCCTCTGGAAAAGTGCTGACGCCTGCTCCCAAGACGCCGGCTGGAGAATCAAGCCGACGCACGTATCAAAGCGACCACAAGCGCAAGGCCCCTATGTCGTCTTCCACAAGCCGGCAGGTGGCCACAGTCTAAGACGAGCAACCTCAGGGGCGGCTGGCACCCAAGAAGCAGAAGGGCGGCAGGGCGGCTTGGCAGCTGGCTTTCTCCTATGAGCAAACCCTCGATGCCCCCTGCAAGTTCCACAGCGGTGCGAAGCCGTCCAACCACACAACTCGGAAGTGCCATTGGCTCACACGGATCTCCAAGGGCGAGGGGCTGTTGCCGCCTCCGCCTGCAGGCCAGCCGCCTCCTGCCCCGCAGCATACGGCCGCTCGGCCAGCAGTCGGAGCCATCCAAGACGAGTTCCCCGATGAACATGCTGCCTACATCGTCTTTACAAGCCAGCCGGATGACCGGCGTAGCCGGCGCCGACAACAGCAAGATGTCAACGCGGTCGCCTCCAACAACCCCGAGTTTATGCACTGGTCGGAGAAGCCCATCAGCTGGAGCCAGGCCGATCACCCAGAGGTGATGCCGTCTCCTGGCTCTTATGCATTGGTTTTGGACGCCACCCTCGTGACAGAAAGGCGAGCTGCCCGTTTCTCCCGCGTGCTAATAGATGGCAGGAGCAGCATCAACATACTGTACCGCGACACCGTGGAGAAGCTCAACATCAAGCTGAAGCAGCTCATGCCAAGCCGGGCTGTGTTCCATGGCATTGTGCCCGGCCTATCCTGCTCACCAATCGGCAAGATCAAGATGGATGTCCTCTTTGAGGACAAAGATCATTTCCGCCGAGAGGCAATATGGTTCGATGTAGTGGATTTGGAGAGCCCGTACCACGCATTGCTTGGCCGACCTGCCTTGGCCAAGTTTCTGGTTGTGCCCCACTACCACCTACCTCAAGATGAAGATGTCGAGTTCCAAGGGCATCATCACCATAGCCGGAGACTACAAGAAGTCTTCTGAGTGTGCAGCCGCTAGCAGCCGGCTGGCCGAGTCCCTTGTGATTGCTGAAGAGAAAAGGATGTTGAATCGAGTTGTGGCCATGGCTGGCAAGCAGCCGGCCCTGTCCCCCGACCCCAAGGAATGTGATGCTCAAGGTT